AACCCAGCTCGGGGAAAGTGTTCCAGGCTGGAGAACGAACAGAACCTGCCCTTAGTGAGACCATCCCGGGCCGGAGAACCGGGCAGAGCCTGCAGGAACAGAACTCAGCCCTGGGGAAGGTGTTCCAGGCTGGAGAACCGGGCAAAGCCCACAGGAACCGAACCCACCCCGAGCCTGTCCCAGGCTGGGACACAGGCATTGCCCTCGGGAACAGATCCCGCCCTGCGGGAGCAGGAAAGCTCTCCAGGAAAGGTGGAGGTCATTCCACCTGGGCACATCCTGAGTCAGGACCCGCTGGCCAGGGACAGGGTGCCAAAACAGGTGAATAAAAGGAGACCATGAGATAAGGGTGGAGAATTTCAGTCCCAACAAGCAGAAGGGAGCAGGATTAACCTAACCCTGGGGTTGGTTTGGAAAAGGTCTCTGCAGCTCTTTGAGGTCAAAAAAGGCTTTTGAGGAACACACACACACACACACCTTGAGGCACAGTGGGGCTGGTTCCTGTCACCAGGAGATGGTTGTGTGTCCTCTCCTCAGGGATAGAATTTTGGAAGGGGAACAGTGAATGATGTTCTAGTTATAAAAATTAGTGAGATGTTTTTCCATAGCTCAAAAATAACAAAATAGAGACAGATCTGCTGCAAGGATTTTCCTTCCTGATCTGTCACTGCTGCTGCAGTGTCAGGAGTCCTCGTCATTCCTGTTTTTCTGGTCTAGTAAGAGCTATGTCATTGCATCTCTGGCCTGACCCACAGTTCCCTGCAGACTTCATAATTACAGCCTTCTTCAAAACAGACATCACTTACCATGCCAGGAATTGTCACAGTGTGCAGAAGTAGATCAAAATCCATTAGGGAACAAGAGGTGGCCAGATTAATTTCCACCTGAAATTTCAATTAAGCTTTTCAGGGTAGAATTAGCGCGTAAGCCAAGCCTAGACATGATGACTCTGGGGTTTGAATTTTAGAATTGGTCTGCTAGGGAGAAATGAGAGTTTTCTCTCGGGCCTGTGGCACAGCTGAGCGGGGCCATGCACGGCCCTAAATATTTCAGAGGCTGGAAGCCACAAGTATGTGGAGGTTCTCCTCACGTTAATGTGTGTGATGGGTTTAAAAGCCCGAGATCCCCTGGAAACAAGGCAGAACAGATCCCCAGGCCCTGCTGGAGCCACTGTGCTCTCTGAACTGCTGGCTGGCACTGGAGGGGAGTCACAGAAAGCAGAGGAGTTTCTCATCCTCAATGGACAGAGGAGAAAGGAGCTTTGTACAGTTTCATAATTTTTTTTCATAACTTACAGTAAGATTGTGAGTTGCCCCCCCAAAAACACAAAGGGGATATTTTAAATCCTATTTTTTTAATTTGGCAGAATGTCCCCAACTTCTGGCACCTGCAGGGCACATTTTCCCAACATCTCCTCCCACCCCATCAGTGTGTGTGTACAAAATGACATCAGTGCACATTCAGTGTGCACACAGACCCACACAAACTCTGTGCATTTGTGTGTCTGTGCATTTCACACACACTCAGTCCCAGGGACAGCCGTGGGTGTCCCCAGAGGACACTTTCCCTGTATTTGTGTTGTGTCACCCCCATTTCTGAGCTCTCCCAGGCCCTCCTCAGCCCTGGATCTATTTCCTTTTATTATCCTGGCAGGAGCTGAGCTTCATTAGGGAAGTGGAGTCTCTAACAAGGATGGGGAATGGCAGCAACAAAAGGATGCAGCAATATAAAGTTATGTCAAAAAACCTTTACAAGAAAAACGGCTGACATTAGAAACAAGGGGCATTAAAAATTCAGCAGGGTTGGGAGGGGGGGCAGGACTGGGGAGAGAGAAACAAATAAATACCCAGGCTCTAAACGAATAAATCCTTTTATTTGGGAAATGCATCAAACCCTGCATGCTATTAGAACTGGTTTTATTTCTATTACTGTTAATAACAATGATAAATACATTTTTTTCCGGGGTCTCGGTGTGGGCTATCAGCATTTTAAATACACATTTAACCAGGGAGGTTTAACAGTCTTCCCCTGGTGCTGATGTTCAGTGCCTGGGAGCTGTTTCCTCCTGCCCAGAACGGAGCTGCCCTGCTCAGCCAGCAGATAATTTTGGATGGGTCTTGACCAGTGGCCCAAATTTAGTCAGCTATAACTGGATCCTGTAAGTGACACCAGCCCTGTTGTTTGCCTGGTCAGAGACCCTGGAATCTCGTGATCCCTGAGCTTTTCCAGTCAGGCTCTTGTGGAGAATCTGTTGTCCCAAACACACAAAACCCCCAAATTTGGCTGATGTGCAGGCAGGGATGAATCAATTTGTGTAGGAGCTGAGCAGGCCAGAGGAGGAGGAGGAGGAGGATGTGGAACTTGGATTCCTGTGCTCTCCAAGCACTGGGGACTGACTTCAGCTGCTCTTTGCGTCCCGCCCTGAAGATCTCAAGCCAGGATTTATTTCCCTCCCTCGCTGCACACTGACAAACACAGGGGGAGCCTGGGGTGCTAATCCAGGGCTGCAGTCAGCAGAATTGGGAATCAGAACCTCCCCTCCATCCCGGCCTCCTTGGGGGCTGCAGATGGAGCGTGTCCCTGTCCCATCACCTGGGACAGGCAGGGCAGGTGGGGTGAATTTGCAGTTTGGCACAGGGGAAGCTTTGTGTGCAGGCAGCCCCGGGGCTGGGGGGTTAAAGTGCTCTGTGATTGCTCCTGGCACCCTGTGGGCACTGAAATCCCTGCACAGGGTGGGCAGGAAGGGGTGCAGTGTGCTGGGGTCAGAGTGCTGGCTGTGTTTGCATAGCTCTGTGTGTGTTTTTGTGTGTTTTTCTGTGTTTTTGTGTGTGTGCAGATCTCTCACACAATTCTCCCCCTAATATTATTCATCCTTATTACGTATCATTATTCTTTATTATGATTTATATGCCGTGCCATGGCTTTATGATGATTTATGCCCCCATCCCCAGAAGAGCTTATGGAAGGCATCACACAGCAGGAAGACAGCAGCGTGTTCAGGGGAAGAAGCATGGCTTTCTCTCCCAGCAGCAGCTCCAAGGCTCCTCCTCAGCCATCAGGAACCTCATTCCTGGGCTCCCACAAAAGGATTTGGGTGCAGCTGTACCAAGGCTTCAAGTCAAGCTTTTATCTAAACTCATGGTCTCCAGTTCCTCTGCTGCTGTCCTTCCTTCTGCTGCTTCTTGCAGGTCTTCATTTCCATCTTGCCTATTAAAAGAGATTAATTTAATGATTGCCCTTGAAACAATTTTTGTTGTGTTTGGGGAGGAACTTCCTTGGCTGCTTTAGGGCAGCTTCACCCAGTGCTACCCTACAAATCAGTCACAGCTGAGGGACATTTGCAAGGCTCAAAACAAGAGTGGGAGCTTCCCACCTGGGTCCCCGTGTGTAAATAACAGTGATTCAGTGCAAAATGCTGGCTGAGTTGCCAGAAACGTTTCAGTGTTTGCCTGGAGGAGCCTCAGCCTGTAAGTGACAGCTTTTGAGCCAAAAGGTCCTGTTTGGGTAACAGGGTAACTCAGCTGGAAGAAGGAGCTTGCTCTGGAGGTAAGAGCAGAATATTTAAAGAAATGTAAAGGAGGCTGAAGCTCATCCCCCCCAGATTCCATCCTCTGCCAGAGCCACACTCCCCTCAGCCTCCTCCTCCTCTCCCCATCCACCGCTGTGCTCTGAGGCCGTTCCTGGATGCACAGGGGAGAGGCAGGGCTGCCAGGAGCCAGGGGTTTCCCAGAGCTGCTCGTGGCAGGGCGGCTCAGGGTTTGTGAGTTATGGCAAAGCCATGGCAACCATGAAAACAGCCCCACCCCAGCCTCCGCTCCCTGGTGGCACGGTGGTGGACACAGCCAGGACAATCTGCGCTGGGGAAAGGCTCTGGGACCCTTTCTGGGGCTGGGAATGCTGCAGTGAGGGGTGACGTGTGGCTGAGGCCAGCACAGCTCGGTTTTCCATGGGCTGGGCACTGTGAGGAGGCTCCAAACCCCTTTGCTGGGTGTGCAGCCCCCAGGGAGCCCCAACCTCCCAAGGCAGCCCCTTCCCCTGGGGCAGAGCACAGGAGACAAGCTCTGGGCTTAGGTTTCTGTGCTGAGCTTGGGGCTTTTGAGCTGGCGTCCAGACTGCATGCCAGAAGTTTCTAAAGCTGGCCCGGAGTGGATCTGATCCTGCTGGAAACCTTGGCACAGCTGAGGTGGAATCCAGTGAGGCAGAGGAAGAGCAGCTGGGTGGGACAGGGGCTGCTCCTGCTCCTTGCACAGCCTGGGACAGCCTGGCCCTGGCTGGAAGAGAAATGCAAATGATAAATAATGTTTGGGGAGCTGATCGAGCGCACACGGGTGCTGCCTGTCTGTGTGTGTGAGAGAGTGTCAGAATTAGGGAGCGGCAAGTATTTAATCACAATAAACGGCCACATTGTCTTCCCTCTTCCCGAGAAGCTGGTCGAGCATCCAGCTATTTTATTTATTTATTTATTAAATATCTCTGGAGATAGCTCAGCAGCAGGGGAGTGCTGCTCTGTCTCCCAAACGATGACTGCCATCAGGCTGGAGAAATCAGTCATTTCTGGCAAGGAAAAAACCTCTCTTTGGTGGGTTAATGATGCAGGGTAAATCCTGACAGTGGCCAGTGCTCTGAGCACATGAGACATGACCTGAGGGAATCATAGATTCTGGGGGGGGCTCTTGCTGCTGCTCCTCTGTAATGGGATTGCTGCTTTATAATGGCTTCAAGTTCTTCTCCTTTCCCCCCTTTATCATTATTGACCAAGGAGCACCAGTAAGGCTGGAGAATAAATAGTTCCCTGATGGTTAACAACGGGCCCTGCACCGATTGGAATTCAAGCTGTGCTCCCTGTTATATTCTTTATAATCACACTTTATTGCACGGGGCGGAAAATAAAGCATCTCCCTCTCCCCCTTTTTCCTCCTCTCCACCACTGGGAAATTGGGTGCTGCCTTCTCCTGGGGCAGCTGAGGAGGCTCCGGGGCTGAGCACCCACCACGGCACAGGCAGACCATGGGGGGACAGCACCATTCCCAACAGGAACAGAACCACTTCTAGCAGGAATATCCCCATTCCCAATAGGGACAGCACCGTTCCCAGGGAGCAGCACCATTCCCAGCAGGAATATCCCCATTCCCAGCAGGGACATCCCCATTCCTGGCAGGAACAGAACCATTTCTAGCAGGAATGTTCCCATTCCCA